CCGGTCTTCAGCGGCGAGGGAGTTTTCACTTTGTCAGCCTGGCCAAGTTTGGGGTCTGGTTTGGGCGTCGCCAGTTTCACAGTGTCCCTCTTGCTGTAGCCCTTTTCGTTTAGCGTTTCGGACGTCTTTTGAATGCTGTTCTCATTGTTTTGTAAACATTCCAGAATCAGCGTCTCATCGGCGTTTGGAAATATCGACTTCATGTACCTGCAAGGGAATCGCGCTGAAGTTGCGAGGCAACCCTGGGCAAATCGGGGCTCGTCACCTTAGCTTTAGCTTGGGGGATGAATGGGGGTTTGGGGAGCTTCTGTACGCGCCAAATCGTGGACTCCCTGTCCTCGATAGAGCCTCCTTGACCGTGTTTTGGAGGTTTCGTTGCGGGGGCGGCGTTGAAAAGGGCCCTGGGGTGGTGATGGGGTGTTTCTCCACTTGGAGAGCGCTGATCACCAAGGCCTCCCGGTTCAAATACCTGCAAAGGATTAGCTGCAGATTCCCCGCACTCCGCCGCAATTTCACTCACTTATTGAGCAGCAGTTTGATATGAGTTTCGGAAACAGTGGGAAACATGGCGCTGATTTTTGCAACGGGATCATCTACGGAAGTTCCGTTACTATCATAGCGCTCGTTAGTGGAAGGGTGATCTGGAACCTTGGCGCTTCTCAATGTAAACGGGCTTCTTGCTGCAGGTTTGGGCTCCTAAACGTTTTGGAAATATCAAGAGCTCAGACAGGAAAGGGCGCTAATCAAACGGGTACCTGGAAGTGACGTGAATTCAGCAGGAAAGCCTGAATTGGGGGTGAGTGACTGGGGTGAACCACAGAATTTCTTCTGAGGTCCGGTGATCTGTGCTGCAAAAACACAAAAACATAGACGTGACGGCAGTGATCAGAATCATTCCTCATGCGTGATTCCAGTTGTTTCTGCACATAGAGTTGAAGGTTTGCCGCAGGTGTTCTTACCTGTAGAGGAATGTGTTCCACTGCGATACTCTGGCATTGTTTCAGGGGGGCTTGAGCCCCCCGATGCCGAATTCTGGGGTCTTCCCAGGTGGTGATGCGACTGTAATGGTGTATGTAATAGCTGAAATAGATGCACATTGATGAGCGCTAAGTTCAAGCACCAAATTCGTCTTACAATTTTCCGGAATTTTCATCAAATTTGCAGTCCCAACCGGGCGGCAATCCATTCTGCACGTCGGTCATTGTTGGACTTCTTATGGGTTTCCTGCTAGGGACTGTATTGATCTGTTTGGGAAACAGGGACGCTGCAGAGTTGCCGTTTTGCACACGATATCTTTAGACCAAACTGGGTAAAACACGTTTAAAACTCGTTCCAGGGACGGGAATTCGAACGAAGCCGATTTTCAATAATACAATTTTTATTTAATATGTGTGTAAACAAACAAATTAATTGTAAACATTTGAAATATAATATAAAATGTTTCATATCACAGCTAAGTCTGTACAGATAATAACGGAAAATTACTTCATAAACAGATACAGTGCTTTCTAATCTTAAGTTGATGCATTGTCTGGTCTTTATAATCAACTAGCAACGAGTTGCGCTGTTTATGTATATTCGCAGGATTTATCAAAGTTACTACCTACGCAAAAAGCGAGTGCTTCAACAGACCGTGCAAACTGGGTTAAAAATTTGCGTTATTTTTAACATAATTCCTGGAAGCAAAAAATGGCAATTTTCCCAGTGGAAGTTGGAGTTTTATCCAAAATTGTTGATATTTTGCATGTGAACAACAATCAATGTCTCCCCTAATCTTCGGAAAATCACTCACAAGTCCTACCTAAATAAATTACGTTACACTGTTAATTTTATAAAATGTTTAAAAATATGTATCTCGATTAAAATTACTTTATATATCACTAAAATTAATAACTGGATGTTACGGTTTGTTCATGCGAATGCGATCAGTACGTAATAAAATCTGTTGTCAAATTTCGACCCGATATAACAATATTAGGCTTAAGCCCGTGTGCCATGCATCCGTTTATACGATGGTACGATGGTACGAAAGTGTTTCTATTGGTTGGAGATCTGTCAATTCATCCGCCGTCTTACGAACGTAGCACGAATTGACCTCCAACCAATAGAAACACTTTCGTATCATCGTACCATCGTATAAACGGATGCATGGGACACGGGCTTTAGGCCATCACAATGAAAAAGTGAATTTAGGCTTAATTGCTACACTTAATTTGCTAACTAAAACAATTTAGGACTGTTACTTAGGCTTGCTTGGTCCACCAAGCTCAATCACAATGTAAAACCTTCCAAAGCAAGTGATAATTTAGTTAATTGACTAACGTTCAAATTGCGTCCAGCTAAAGAGCAAACTGATATTCTTGAATCCCTGAAGACTAATTAATATCGGTGAAGATTGGCCTGTGGCGACCCAAAAAACGCGCGGTTTCAACAATCGAAGCCTGATTGATTAATCAAACTTCGTCCATTGCTTTTGCGTATTGATTCGCCTCGGTTCAGCAGATGCACCACTATCAAAACCGCTTTGAGTCTCCGCACTGAAGTTGAAATGAAGCCCGTAATCCTGCAGCAAATCCTGATCCTGCCTGCTGAAGCTTGAAGTGTTGTGTATCAGCGTTCCATTCGACATGATTTCATGGTTCTCGTAGGACGAATTGTACAGAGGATTCAGGACACTCATCGGGGGCACCTGGCTATCAGTTGGCGTTGAATAGGACGAAGACGATGACTTTAACGGGTCGAAATCGTCCAGGTCCGAAGCAGTGTCCAGGCAGATGAGATCTTCTGTGACATCGGTTGGCTGGAAGTAAAGTTATGGTTATTCTGGGTCGGTTTCGGTGAAATTTGTACCTTTCGTCTACTGGTTGAACACTGGGCTGGAGGTGTGAGCTTCACTACGTTCACTTGGCTTTTATTGGCGAGGAAGAAAACCGGATCGCCATTCTCAGTGCGCCCGCCCGCAACAACGAAGGGCTTTGAACTGTTCATTACGTCCAGTTGGGGCACTTTTCGCGCAGCTGCTTCAGGTGGAGACTCAAACGACTCGTCCTGGGGCGACTGCAGCAGGTTGCGGGTATCCCGATGGTGGCTGGAATGGTAAAACCGGCTTTGGGTTGAAGACAGCGAAGACATAGAGGGCAACGTGGGGCGCGGCGGCGGCAGCGCCCATTTTTCCGGGCTGGCCGAAGAACTGTTGGAGCTTTTGATGTTCTCCAAACTGCGCACAGGTTTCAGCTGAAAGCGCCACATTAGCTTCAAAACGCAGTTGGGAGTGTTGGGATTTTACCGAGCGATCCACTGGGGGCGTGTCCAACTTCAATTGAAGCAGATCTTGCATTTCATTCATCAGATCGATGCGAGGAATTTCTAT